TTGTGGCAGGGGGTCAGGCTAGATGATCTGTTCAGGTCCCTCCTGACCTTAGCTACTATGATCTTTAAGTAATGTTCTTTGCATACTTGTTGACAATATTCTTTAATACCAAAATAGAATAGAAGTTTTCATCCTAGTCTCCACACTGAGAAACTGAATAGATTCCTCTTAATGCTCTGTAAAACTATTTATGCATCTTGTGGATTTAGAGGAAAGATTTAATTTCTTTGGTCCATAATGACCAGCTAGGCACTAGTCATTACTAGAAAAATATGCATATCTCTACAAAGTTTCAGTCCAAGCAATGATGACTATCCATCTTCTGTGGATATATACATACAGATGGACCCAAATAATGAACTGACTTCTTAGAATGCAGTCTTATCAAGGGATAGTTCAGAGACAGAATAGGACTTTCCATTTTGATAAATTACTGATTAAGTTACGCACTAGGTTTAGTGCCTTGGCAGATTCTCTAATATAGGCCTATTCAGATTGTAATTTTTTTTTTCCAGAATGCTCAGCATGTCCGTATTTCTGCAGATTTATGACATACCAGGTTGTGTAGAAGATTATGTGCACAATTTAACAGAATTGTGTCCTTGGGAGATTAATCTAGTTTCCCTCTCAAAGCATGTTATAGGTTCCCTTTGCTCAGACAAGAGATGGGCTGGAGTTCATCTTTTTAGGAGGGAAGAGAAGCAGGGATTATACTTTAAAATCTGTTGGATTTGGAAGTAATACATGTAGTTCTCAAGACATTTATTTCCCCTGTTAAGATTAAATCTAGTCCTGTTTTCTTACAGTATGGCCATGTATTACTACTACCTAAACTAGGGTTGTCAAACTTGCCTCATGCCAGATCTGGAGTTGAGGGCCCTTTGTGGATCCAGCTGAGGGTATGTGGTGGCGGCAGCAGCAGCATGAAGCAGCTCCAGCTTGGAGCACCTGGAGGCAGTAGCAGCTCTGGCTCCTGCTGTGCATGTCTGTGACTTTGCTTGGGGCCTGAGCCATTTGGTGAAGGCATCTCTGGCTTCAGTAGGGAGCATGGGGCAGGAGCCCAGGTGGCCAAGGAGGTAGGCCCAGAGTGGTGACAGAGCAACTGGAGCTGCATCAGTCCTTGCTCGCTTTCTTGCTGCTGATGGCCATGATCACCAGGGTCCGAGGGCCCTAGATTCTGTGGCAGGCTATTCCTTCCTGGCCATGCGGCCCCCTCCCCCCCCTTTCCCTCCAACATTTGGTTGCCTGCCAGTGGTCTGGATAGAACACCTCTGCAGGCTGGGTGCAGCCTGCAGGCCATATTTGACACCCCTGACAAAATGTATGGGGAACTTCAGTTTCTTGTTTGTCCAGCTGACTTTTTCGGTGGGAATGTTAGAGCAGAATGGGTTTCATTGTTTCATCCATTTAGTAGGGCTAAAGAACGTTTAGTAGACTGTTAAAGTTAGGAATTGTGTAAAAGCTGTAAGCCACATTTTTTTTCTTGTTGGTGTTGACAACAGATGGTCTTGTTTATGACTACGCAGAATAAAATGCAAAATGTTTTTCTTGAGCCAGTGAGGATCTAGATTTGGAGTCTGCCTTTTGTAGCATGTTGTGAAGTCTTCTATTCCCTGTTTTCATTTTCCCTAACTCAGTCTTGTAAAACATAGGGCAAGTTGTTTAAAAATCAAAGCTTGTTTGAAGGAACTTGCTTTAAATATTACTAAATGACAGAATGACACTTCTTTAGGAACAGAATGGTGCTATGAATCTGATCAAGGTTCATTTAAATTTCAGGGCTGTGCAGCTGAGTAAAGATATCCTTAAATGTCTGTAAAGGTTTGACAGTAATGACAGGAAAAACATATAAGCTTTGTTATTTGTAGTATTAAGATCAATATGTAGCTTAGATCAGAATTACAACTCTGGTGTTTTACTGAAGATTTTGCCATTGTTTGTCAAACCCCAAAAGTGTTCATCTGAGTCCTCAACAGAACTAGCACTGTAAATACCGATTAAAAGTAACTGTTAACTTTTTTCCTAGGCTCGGAAAACCTTTCTAAAACTTGCTTTCTGTGACATCTGCCAGAAGTTCTTGCTAAATGGGTTCCGGTGTCAGACATGTGGCTACAAATTCCATGAGCATTGCAGCACGAAAGTTCCAACCATGTGTGTGGACTGGAGCAATATAAGGCAACTCCTGTAAGGACTTTTAATACTAGTAATGATTCTGTGTGACTGCAGAGCCTTGGCTCATCTCCATATTAACTCTACTATTAACTCATATCCTTAACTCTCCAAGTTAAGGATAACAAAAAATTGTTTTTTAGATATATAGGGAGTAAAAGGAAGGCCCAGGGTGGAATAGGACCCCTACTAGATGGGCATAATCAATTGGTGATGGACAGGGGGGGGACAAGGCTGAACTCCTCAATTAAATCTTTGCCTCAGTGTTCCTAAGCGAGGGGCAAGACAAGGCTCTCACCGAGATTGTAGAGAGGCAGCAGCAAGACGCCAGACTACCAAGCGTAGACCCTGAAATGGTGCAGAGGCACTTGGAGGAACTGGATGCGTTCAAGTTGGCAGGCCCAGATGAGCTCCATCTGAGGGTACTGAAGGCACTGTCTGATGTCATTGCCAGGTCCCAGAGGACTGGAAAAGGGCCAGTGTGGTCCCCATTTTCAAGAAGGGGAGGAAGGAGGACCCAGGCAACTATAGGCCAGTCAGTCTCACCTCCATCCTAGGCAAAGTCTTTGAAAAAATTATCAAGGCTCACATTTGTGAGAGCCCAGCAGGACAAATTATGCTGAGGGAAAACCAGCACGGGTTCGTAGCAGGTAGATCATGCCTGACTAATCTAGTCTCTTTCTGTGACCAGGTTACAAAACACATGGATGCAGGAGTAGGGGTTGATGTCATTTACTTAGACTTCAGGAAGGCCTTCGATACGGTATCCCACCCCATACTGGTGAACAAGTTAAGAGGCTGTGACTTAGATGACTACACAGTCTGGTGGGTGGCGAATTGGCTAGAGGGTCGTACCCAGAGAGTCCATAGTGGATGGGTCGGTATCGACCTGGAAGGGTATGGGCAGTGGAGTCCTGCAGGGCTCGGTCCTAGGA